CTCTACCACTTGAGCCACAGCGCCACTTCCGGCTTTTTTTCTTTTTGCTTATGTGGTGCTGAGGAATCAAACCCAGAGCCTCAGGCATGCAAGGCAAGCGCTTTACCACTAAGCTACCTTCCCAGCCACCCCCCGCCCCCCAGCCTTTCTTAATAAAGACACACAACTTAGCCAGGTACCAATGGCTCACTCTTGTAATCCTAGCATCTCAGGAGGCTGAGATCTGAGGATTGCAGTTTGAAGCCAGCCTGGGCAGGAAAATCGGTGAGATTCTCATTTCCTATTAACTAGCCAAACACCAGAAATAGAGCTGTGGCTCAAGTAACAGAGCTCTAGCCTTGAGCAGAACTGACAGTAGCCAGTCCCTGTGTTCACTGCCAGCTTTGGCCATTTTGCATGTCACCTGACTCTCCCGGTCACTAACTCTACTCAGTCCTCCCATTCTTCCATGCATGCAGTAAAACAGTACCAGATCGAGGGCACCCCAACCTCCACCTCACACCAGTGCTGGGGGTGAAGCCAGGAGTTTTGCACATGCTCTCAGCAAACGTTCTACCTCTTGGGCTCCAGCCCACCGCAGTTTCAAATTGTCTCAGGAGGAAGTGTTCCCAGCACAAGCAGCTCACCTGAGCATTGCAGCGGAATCTTGGACCACCTGCGCTATCTGAGACTTGTGAATCCTCTGCTGACACAGCAAGTTGTGCGCTTTGGTCCACCTAGGAGCAGACACCCGCCAACCCCAAATTCCAATCAGCCAGAGATGCAAGGGCCCTGTCCCCGGTCCAAGTAGAGGGAGGAGGACTTCCCTTTCTCTACAGACTCGTTTCCTGAAGGAAATGCAGAGCTGCTAGATGGTAAGGCTTAATGGAAGGACCTGGGTCATGGGGCTATACTCCCATAAATGGATTAATGCTTTAATCACAGGATAGGGCCTGAAAAGGATATGTCCAGTCCCCTTCTTGCTCTTGCCCTCTTTTGTGCCTCTCTGCCATGGGATGACATAGCAAGAAACTCCTCACCAGATGCTAGTCCCTTGATCTTGGACTTCCTAGTCTTCAGAACCACAAGACAAAGGCATTTCGGTTTATTATGGCTTATAATAATAGCAGCATAAAGTAGCCTAAGGCAAAGGTCATTTATCATGTGTCCCCAAAGAAGGGTTTTCTAACTTATGCCAAGAATTCTCTGAAGGTGTCATTGAAGCAGCAGGTGGGTAGCCTCAGGGACAAGCGAGCAGTGTGCTCTGCAGTGTAATGGTCTTATCAGGTAAGCCCTAGGAAGGTAGGGGAGTCTGTCATCCCATCAAAGCCACACGCAGGGAGCAGGAGAACTCACCACTCCACCATATGCGGCAACTTCTCCTTGATGGTCCGCTGGGGGTCGATCTCAATGGGGTAGTAGTGGTGAAGAAGGGCCGAGAGCTGGGTCAGCCACATGAGGAGAAAAGCCATTAGCACATACCAGGTTGTTCTCCAGCACAGCCCCACAGCTCAATGTAAGAGGAAAGCCACCTAGCAGGGGCAACTGCATGGAAGAGTGTTACTTTGCTTCAAGTTTCCATCTTCTGTACAAGACCCCAGGTTCTTCTCATATCCTCCTCTGTGGCTTGTCATGACCAATCTGACCAAGTCTAAGGATCTGCATAGTTTGCTACTCCTCTGTGCTCACCCTGAGACTGATGTCAACAACTCAGCAAGGGTAGCCAGGTATGAGTATGTGGTGCATGCCTATAATCCCAGCACTCCCACTGCCTCAGGAGATAGAGGCAGGAGGATCTTGAGTTCAAGGCCAGCCTAGCCTACATAATGAGATCCTGTCTCAAAAACAAGGGGCTCAAGGAAACCTGTTTGGGATACTATTACTTAGAGGGAAAGGTGCAGGGACTGTGATAGAGGGGGTGAAATCTATTAGAATATAGTTAATGTGTGGAGATGGTGCCAGGAGCTCACACCTGTAATCCTAGCTACGCAGGAGGCTGACAGCTGAAGACCTCAGTTCAAAATCAGCCTAGACAAGTAAGTGGGTAAGATTCTTTTTTTTTTTTTTGGCCGGTCGTGGACCTGAACTCTGGGCCTAGGTGCTGTCTCTCAGCTCTTCAGCTCAAGGCTAGCACTCTACCACTTGAGCCATAGCGCCACTTCTGGCTTTTTCTGTTTATGTGGTGCTGAGGAATCAAACCCAGGGCCTCATGCATGCAAGGCAAGCACTCTACCACTGAGCCACCTTCCCAGCCCGTGGGTAAGATTCTTATCTCCCAATTAACACCCAAGAGCTGGAAGCGGGGCTGCAGCTCAAGTGGCAGAATGTCAGCCTTGAGCATAAAAAACAAAGAAACAGTGCCCAGACCCAGTTCAAGCCCCAGTAATGATGCATGCATCCATGCATGCATGCACGCGCACACAAAACAAGGAATGGGGAAGTGGTTCAGAAGTAAATGTTAGGTACTTGCTTATGATTCATGTTAGGTACTTGTCTAACATATGCAAGGCTCTGGGTTTCATCTTTATAACACACGTGCTCGCGCACGCGTGCATACACGCATACACACACACACACACACACACACACACACACAGAGGCAGCAACATAAATGAAAACTGATAGGTAAAAAAGGGCACTGAGGTTTGTAATTAATTCAGTAACAGGACTTCATCAGTGCTGATTTAATGTTGTGTTTTTTGAAATGTGGGAAACTTTCTCAGGTGTTAAATGGGATTAGTTTTAGGGGTTTTCCGTTTAATGTAGGTGCACACCTGTAATGTCAGCACTTTGGAAACTTGAGACAAGAGGATCAAGATTTTGAGATCAGTCTGGGCTATATAGCAAACTCCAGGCCTGCAACTTTGGGGGAGGGGAGGAAGACCAAAAACAAAAACAAAAAAAAACAAAAAAGCCAGGAGATGGTGGGGCTAAGATCTGAGGATTGTAGTTTGAAATCAGCCAGACAGAAAAATCTGTGAGAGGGGCTAGGAAGGTGGCTCAGTGGAAGAGCGCTTGCCTTGCATGCATGAGGCCTTGGGTTCGATTCCTCAGCACCACATAAGCAAAAAGAAAAAAGCCGGAAGTGGTGCTGTGGCTCAAGTGGTAGAGCACTAGCCTTGAGCTGAAGAGCTGAGGGACAGCGCCCAGGCCCAGAGTTCAGGCCCCACAACCGGACCCAAAAAAAAAAAAAGAAAAGAAAAGAAAAGTCTGTGAGACTCTAATCTCTAATTAACTACCAGAAAACCACAAGAACAGCTGTGGCTCAGGTGGTAAAGCACTAGCTTTGAGCAAAAGAGCTCAGGGAGAGTGCCCAGGCCCAGAGTTCACCACCAACTATAAAAATCAGCACCAAAAAACATTTTTGAATACATAAAATTTGCTTTTCATCCATGCACAGAATGGTTTCCTTGAGCATCTCTCGCTTTGTGAGAGTACCAAAATTACTATCTTATCTGGAGATCCAGCTGAGCTTTTTGGATATTGAAAGATCAGAAAGATATAAGGAACCAGAAGTCACTTAACAAAGACAACTTATGGTGGAGGCAGAAGCCACCTAGAACTATATGTAAATGGCACCTTTGGGGACAGGATTCTGATAAGACCTGTCTGTGATTCGCTACCCATTTCATTTTTCTCAGGATTTTTTTTTGCCAGTCCTAGGGCTTGAACTCAAGGACTGTCTCTTAGCTTTTTTTGCTCAAGGCTAGCACTCTACCACTTAAGCCACAGCACCATTTCTGGCTTTTTCTGTTTATATGGCACTGAGGAATAGAACCCAAGGCTTCATGCATACTAGGCAAGCACTCTACCACTAAGCCACATTCCCAGCCTCCCTACCCATTTCATTTCATTTCTTTCTTTTTGTCGGTTGTAGGGCCTGAACTCTGTTCCTGGGTGCTGTCCCTCAGCTCTTCAGCTCAAGGCTAGCACTCTACCACTTGAACCACAGTGCCACTTCCGGCTTTTTCTGCTTATGTGGTGCTGAGGAATCGAATCCTGGGCTTCATGCGTGCAAGGCAAGCGCTCTACCACTGAGCAACCTTCCCAGCCCATTGCTACCCATTTCAATAATGAGCAGTCATGTTAGTGTTGAAAGCACACATACCGAGACCCTGGGTTCCATCCTTAGCATCACAAAAAAGAATATTGGAAAGATCGAGCAACATTTGACATTGTAAGACCAACACCTGATAGTGTACAATTTTTATAAATAATCTAAGTGTCTCTACCCCGGTGGGAAGAGCCTGGAGCAAAGTATGAACAGTGAGCAAGGACTCAGGGGTAGAACTCAAGTGGTAGAGCACCTGCCCATGTGTAAGTCTCCAGGTTCTAATCCTCAGTAACACACATACACATACACCAAAACAATGACCAAGGCTCTAGGAACAGTTTCAGAATACTGTATACATCTTATAGAAACAGGAGTTATATATACTGACATTAATTCAGAACTTTCTTGATATCTGTTAACTTATCAAGAAAAGTGTATTGAGGGGAGATATAATATAGTGGGAAGAGTTTGAGACAGAATCAATGTATTAAAAAACTTAGCTGTAGTAAGATGCTGGTAGCTCACACTTGTACTTGAGAGACTGATATCTGAGAATTAATGTTCAAAGCAAGCCTGTGCAGGAAAGTCTGTGAGACTTATCACCAATGAACCACTAAAAGGCTGGATGTGGAGCTGTCAGTCAAGAGGCAGAGTGCCAGCCTTGAATGAAAAAGCTAAGAGATAGCACCCAGGCCCTGAGTTCAAGCCCTAGTACCAGCACTTATACACATACAAATTTCGCTGTATAATTCTAGTTGAGTTACTTCAACCTCTCCAAGCATCTCTTAAAGGGAGGTAATAATACACCTTCAGGAGTTGCAGGAGGGTCAGTGACATAACATTCAAGTCTCTTGTAAACTTGGTGTTGCATATAATATCCACACTTCAACCACCAAATGTCTCAACCAACAAGGAAAAGTGACCTCACACATTCAGATTAGATCCACCACAGCATGGCTATAATTTGAAAAGGAATGAATACCAAAACAAAATTCCTGCAAAGACTGTCTTTCTACCATATATTTTGGGGCTGGATGTATACAGCTCCCAGTAGTGGAGGGATTTGATCCCTACCACCACAAAACAACAACAACCACCACCAAACAAACAATAAAATGAACTTTCTAAGGTCCTTGTGCTGGAATCATTGGGTCTAGGCAGGAAGCAATCACACACCAAAACCATTCATTTCTGAGCGACTTACCTCTTTCCGACACTCTTCACTGATGATCTTGCTGTTATCCAGAATATCTGGAAAAACACAAAACTCCTTTTACTTGCCCCTTGGATGCCATGGTCTCCACAAGACCAGCAAGGCAAGTTAGCAGGTGGACTTACTGTGGGAAGAAGGGCATCTCTGTCCATTACATGCAAACCTGCTCAAGGTCATGTCAAAATCAGAAATCACCTAAGAGGTAAAAACGAGAGGGGACTGTGCTCAAATAGACCTACCTAGCATGGTCCAGCCTGGGTGATTATGGAAGTCTAATGAGGCAGGGGGCACGAGAGGGAAAGAAAGGGTTTGGGAAGTGAATCTAGTTAGTCCACGAGTTAATGCCCAGAACAGCCCTAATCCTACTGGGGGGGGACTGGGCAGGGGTTTGGGGGTGACTCTTTGCATGGCCCCCAATGCACAGAGTTCTTCCTAAGACGACTGTGTCTTCAAGACCCATTTCCCCATTTTCAACTTCTTAGGGAGCCCTCAGGCCTGGACCAAGGGAGGATGGGGGTGCAGGCCTCAGGTGCTTTCTGGAACAAGCTGACCACATGGATCCCACCGAAGAGTCTGAAATGCAGGTCCCCCCCCCCCAGCGCGCACACCACCACCACCCACCCAGGGCGAACCAACCATTTTCCCGGGTCGGAGG